TATGCTGCAAAACATTTGTTTAATGATGCAAAGAAGCCTTCCTTTCTTTTATGTTGCGTTTGTTTATAACTCTGTGGAGCTGTGTCACTGTCCCTGTCTAAAACACCTGATGGTCTAATAAAGAGCTGAATGGCCAACAGTGAAGCAGAAGAAAGGATAGGCGGGGCTGGCAGACAGAGAGAATAAATAGGAGGTGAAATCTGGGAAGAAAGGACCGAGAAAGAGAAGGAGGGGAAGACTCCAGGGGCCAGCCACCCAGCTACACAGCAAGCAATGGAGAAAGAAGTATAAAGAAAGATATACAGAAATAGAGAAAGATAAAAGCCCAAGGCAAAAGATAGACAGGTTAATTTAAGAAAAGCTGGCTAGAAATAAGCCAAGCCAAGGCCAGGCATTTATAAGAAAGAATAAGCCTGCATGTGTATTTACTTGGGAGTTGGGTGACAGGACCCCCAAAGAATAAACAACAATAACAACACTTTAGACCAGGCTGGCCTCAAACTCACAGAGATCAGCCTGCTTCTGCCTCTTGAGTGCTGGGATTTAAGGCCTGGCTTAAATTCACTCCTTAAATCAGAATATCCTTATTTAGATTTAAAAATTAAATGTCTAAAGTATCTAAATGCCAGCCTTTTTAAAGAAATATAACTTTACTGCTTTTAAGGAACTTGGTGTGGTGGTTCATGCCCGTAACCCCACACTAAGATAAGGCAGAAAGATGGCTGAAAGAATGAAACTAGGGCTATCCAGTGGGTTCTTGGACACCATAGGCTAGAATAGCCCCGTCTTAAAAGACACAGTCAGCAAATGGCACATACCTAAAATCCCAGCTGTTCAGAAGGCTGGGAAAGGAGGATAATGAGTTCAAGACCAACACGTAAGACTTTCACTCCAAAATTAAAAAATATATGTTATATATGGAATGGCTAGTGCTTTTGTGACTTGGTATTTATGTATGCACATATCCTCATATATGCACACACATATATTAATAGCTAATTTAATGATTAAAGGAGTAAATTTTCTGACATCTTTATCTTGATTCAACTTTCAATTTATCTTATAAAACCAGACAGCAACAAATGTAAACCAAGTCTAAATCTTATCCAAATTGTCACAAACGTGAAATAGACATGGTAGAAATTAATCTCCACATGTATGCATTAACATCTGTGTGTGTGTGTGTGTGTGTGTGTGCACACGCGCGCGCGTGCATGCATGACAACAATCCTGGTCTGGTAAAGAGTCTTCTCCAAGTCTCATTTCTTGGGTAGGCAGGCAGACAGACAAATAACTCTGTACTGAAATTCATGAGCTATCTACCGTGTCAATTCCAGACAACTCTTAACAAAGTTTGGTTCTGTTTTCTCTTAAAATAATACAATTTTTCAGCTTTTTCAGGTTTCAATTAACTAGGAAAACAAACAAACTCGTGCAAGTCCAGAGGCACTGGGAGTCCCTGGATTTGGAATTACTGGCCATTGCGAGTTGCCCACCATGGGTGCTAGAAACAAGGGACCTCTGCAAGAGCAGTACTCAGTCTTAACCACTGAGCCATCTCTCCAGCCCCTAACTGACCTGTTTGTGACCCATTCCTGATATTTCATTTCTGAATACTACTTTGTGCTATCAGTAGGATCCCCTTGGAGAATCCCAGGGCATACTCAACCCAGATTTGAAATCATTAACAGTTTCCCATAATCCCTCACACACAGAGAAACATCAGATTCCGTCAAGATAATGCAACAGTCTCCCTGCACTCTTGGTAATTTACAAACACAGTATCTTTGAAATAGCTTAATTGCATGAAAGTACAAAAGGAATAGACACATTCAAAGTTCATCAATTTTAAAACTGTAAACAAATTTGATGGCTACTATAGGGTCTTCTTTTACCAAAAAACAAACACTACAATGAATACCTCAACTTGCAAAGGTTTTTAAAAGGCCATTCAATTATAGGCTGTACTTGAGTAAGACAAGACGCTACTTTCCTTAGTTTGGTATATACAGCTCTGAACAAATCATGCTTTTTCACAAGTATAATAGACAGAACTTGTATCAAGTTTCTAAAACATTTTGCCTAACTTATAACAGGGTAATAAACACATCAAGGGCTTAACAGGTTAAATATACTCACAAACACATACACATACATATCTCTCCTGCATCCCACACTCCCATCCCCAACCAGATCTCACTTTAATCATAAAAATGTGTTGGCAGGAATAATGCTTTTATGAGACAATTTTAGTAAAATTTAATTTAACCTATAGATACCATCTTATAGATTGCTATAAGGAAGAAGTGGGAATCCACCCTCTCTATAATACATACATTCACATGTATATAATATGTAAACAAAATGTACTTTCATTCTAGAATGTAATGTCCATTTCTGAGAATTACTCAAACGTCAAACTCCTTACCCTGGAACCACTAACTTCTGCCCATTGTGAATCCGATATGAACAGCGATAATCGTCAGGGAGCTTGCAACCAATCTGAGCTTCCACAGCATCCAAGTCTTCCTCACGTGCGCCTTCTGCAAACACACACCAAAGACAGAAGTGTGTACACACAATCAGACTTCAATCTAGTAGGTCAGCTGCCAACCAACCCATGAAACAATCTTATAGCAAGTGAATTCTGTTCAACATATACTGTCAAAACACAGGGCAATGAATTGGAAATTGATTTTAAACACTGAACGAAGTCCTTAGTTTCCTCTCAACAGGGAAAATACTGGCACAAAGTAAAATGGAGAGGGGTACCAAGGAAATGAGCAATTAATTATTTTTTTTTACATTATAACAAAAACCTTCTCACTTTTCCAAACCTAATATATTCATACTTAAAAAAAAAAAAACAAACCTTGAAAGTTCTCTCAGCTGATGTCATTCTAGAGTTTCAATGTGACCCTTTACAGGGAATATGGGACATTAGACAGATGTAGGTTCATGCTGTGAGGAGTCACTAAGTTGAACTCTTGAGAGCACATTTGAAAACTTGCCCCCTGCATTCTAGCTGTCACAAGCAGGAAAAAAATAATACCAATACCAAGAGAAGAGATCTACTTCCAAGCAACAGCCCCTCAGGTTGTTGGGCCATACCTCTCATTATTGAATGATTATGGCAGAAATGCTACTGAAGACATAAAAAAAAATAAATAAAACAACCAACTACCACCAACAACAAAACACCCCACAAGGTAGCCAGATGTGGTGGCACATGAGTATAACCCCAGCAGTGAGAGTTACAGTGAACTCAGAAGCAGGAAAACAGAACAAAATAAACATACAAGAGGTCAATCAGGCATCTAGAATCACCTTGATTCAAGCAATTGCCAATTCTCAAACAAGCGGCCAAAGAAAGGAGCCCAGCTTTAGCAATACTATAGGACTGATGGATTTAAAGAGAAAAAAAAAGGGGGGGTCTAGAGTTCACAAAGGAAAAAAGGACCTGTTCAAATAAACAAATATGGTTTGGGCTAAGTTATAGAAAGCCAAGTTCTAAGAAAAAGTGAACTGGAAACAAATCAGCCCTCACGGACAAAAAGCCCAGTTTTTCAAGTTACATCAACCCCCTGACAATCTGCAGCAGAAGCAGAAGGAAATCTCTAGAAGAAAAAATTAATACCCTAAGACCCAAATAGTGCTGTGCAATCACTCAAAAGAACTAATCCTCAATAAAAACAAGAACTGACTAAAGAGCAAGCTAAGAGTGTTAACACATTCGTGTGATCCTAGCCCCAGGTTCTCAGAATAAGAAACAGGCTAAAAATTAAAATCACAAACTAACACTAGGGGGCTGGTTCAGTGATGGGCACAGAGTGATGGACTCAGTGAGGAACTAAGATGCACAGGGACCTGAGCTGGAGCCCAAATACCCTCCCATATCAGAACTAAAGCTCTTTCACTGTCCAGGAAGTGGTAAACATTAAATTCTATTAGACTTCAAGAAATCAAAAATGCATATTTTAATCTATACTGTGATTACTAAAAAGGAAATAAAAGGGAAAGCAAAGAAATTAAACATAATTAAGAATGCAGAAAAGGTGAACATATTTAAATGACATGGTTAAGCTCAACTATATTAGTAAATAAATATCACTAAGCCAAATAATCTAATAAGAAGACAGACTAGGTAAAGAACAAGAGCTCAAGGATGCCGTACAGAGTTAGAGAGCAAAGGCTTAGAATGTGCCAGGCGGTGAGGGCGCACACCTTTAGTCCCAGCACTCTGAAGGCAAAGGCAGGTGGATCTCAAGGCCAGCCTGGTCTACAGAGCAAGTTCAGGATAGCCAGGGCTACACAAAGAAACTTTGTCTGGGGGTAGGAGAGGGTGTGTTAGGCCTCAGTTTCAATTTCAGCACCGAAGTAATAAAAAAATTCTACCCAAGAGACTCATCTTAATGTAGACACAGGGGGCGAAAAAAGCTAGCATGGCTCTATTCAGATCACACAAGAGAGACTTTAAAGTAAACAGCTTCATTAAAACTAACGGAGAACTTTCATCATAATAACAGCAAAAGGTTAAATTCACCATGTAGGAATCAATTTTGTGTACCTCAGTAAAACAGCATATGCACATGCGCACACACACAAACACATATGTATACACACTTTTTTTTTTCCTCTTAAAATTTAGAGTACACTGCAAGGGGGCAGCAGGCTAAGCAGTGAAGTACCACCTACGGCCCCAAATGTGTGTGTGTGTGTGTGTGTGTGTCCGTGTCCGAGACAGGGCTTCTCTGTGTAGCTTTGTGCCTTTCCTGGATCTCGCTCTGTAGACCAGGCTGGCCTCGATCCACCTGGCTCTGCCTCCCGAGTGCTGTGATTAAAGGCGAGCACCACCACCACCGTCCGGCCCAAATACACTTTTTTAATATCAGAGTTAAAATGGCAAAAAAAACATTTACGAGCAGTGGATTAATTTTCCACTGCTGCATGAAGTATTAGCAGCTTAAAGCAATACTCATTTGTTTGCCTATTTTGCAAGTAAATGTGAGGCTAGGAAAGCCGGGCAAGGCTCCCTGCTTAAGCACCTCTCCCACACAGGTGCATACCTGGCCCTGTACTCTAGGCTTAGCTGAGAGGAGGTGGAGTACACTGAGCCCACCTCCCAGGAAACCAAGCCAGGAACTCATTATTTGTTTCTGCAGATCTAAAGTTCAAGCACAACTCCACTGGATCCTCTGTGTAGATCCCAATGTTGAAATCATGGTGTTAACTGGGGTGCTAGCTCATCTTACCCATTTTTTGCTTCAGATCTTCTTTAAGCTCACTTAGTTATTTGCAGAATTCAACAGCCTACAGTTTTTTTTTTCAGTGAGGCCCTCAGTGCCTAGCAGCCACCTGACATTCCCTATCATGTAGCCTTCTCCTCAACATACCAGTTTGCTTACTCAAAGTTAACAGAAAAAACATTATGAATCTCTCAGCCTTCTGAAAGGCCCAGATGCTTTTAAGAATGTACTTGATTAGCTGGGCAGTGGTGACACACACCTTTAATCCCAGCACTTGGGAGGCAAAGCCAGGTGGATCTTTGTGAGTTCGAGGCCAGCCTGGTCTACAGAGCGAGATCCAGGAAAGGCACAAAGCTACACAGAGAAACCCTGTGTTGGGGGAAAAAAAAAAAAAGAATGTACTTGATTAAGGGAGGCCCATTCAAGATCATTTTCCTTTTAATTAACATTCAAATTCAATTTATTTGGCACCTTAACTATACCTGCAAAATCTCTTCACATTTCTTTAAAAAAAATAGAGAACAGTTATTTTAAATAATTTGAATATATTAAATAATGGTAATCAAGATGTTTTTATATCACTGGCTATATGAAAGGAGAAATAACTGTACCATGCATGTATACCATGGGCTGAAAATCTTGGGCTACTTCAGAACAGTAAATACCACAGCTGGAAATGTCAACAAACCTCTCAGTAACTAATAGAAACAAAAAGACAGAGACCTGGGAGAAGGCTCAGTGGTTAACAGCACTGGCTCATCTTACAAAGGACCCAAGTTCAACATCCAGAGCCCACACAGCGGCTCACTGCCATCTGTAACTTCTAATCCAAGGAATCTGATGCCCTCTCCTGGCCTCCAAGGATACCAGGTACAGCACATGGTGCACAGATGTACACATAGATAAAATGCCCACACACATAAAATAAAGTATTTTTTCATCTTCTAAAAAATAAAAAAATGGGTGGTGGTGGCCCATACCTTTAATCCCAGCATTCAGGAGGCAGATGATCTAAGAGTTCAAAGCCAGCCTGGTTTACAAAACTAGTTCCAAAATAGCCAGAGCTACACAAAGAAACCCTGTCTCAAAATACCTAAATAAATAAATAAATAAATAAATAAATAAATAAATAAATAAATAAATAAATAAATAAGTAAGTAAGTAAGTAAATAGAGCAAAAATCAGGAAAAGGCAAGATGTCTAGTGCTTAAATGTGCCTGCCACCAAGCCTGATGACATGAGTCATCTCTGGGACCCACAGGTGGAAAGAGAGACCTTACACCTGAAAGCTGTCCTCTGACCTCCATCCAAGTGCCACAGAATGTATGTTACACACACTAAATAAAACGTCATTTTTAAAAGAGGTGGTCAAGTACTTACTACATAAGCATGAGTACCTGAATGTGAACCTCCAGTGCCCAATCGAGAAGCTGGGTGCAGTGATACCCTGTAATCTAAGAACTAGGGAGGCAGATATAGGAAAATCCTTGAGGTTTGCTGGCCAGACAGTCTAGTCCAACTGTGAGCCTCAGGTTCAGTAAGAGACCCAATACCAAAAATATTTGAACATTTGGGTCATTTCTGGTTCTGGCTGATAGAAAAAACCTAATTTTTAAAGAAAGATTTTTATAATTATGTGTATAAGTGTCTTGCCTACATATATGTCCATATATGTGCAGTGCCTGGGGAGGCCAGAAGAGACAGAAAGCAATTAAGGAAGACATCCAACATTGCCTCTGGCTTCTATCTCTCTCTCTCTCTCTCTTTCTCTCTCTCTCTCTCTCTCTCTCTCTCTCTCTCTCTCTCTC